TAGAATATGAGTAATCGTATCTCGGGACATAATAGTGTAAAAAGCTCGGTTAGCTTTGAATTACAGACTTGAAACTTGTATACAATTCCAAGTTAATTCATTCAAAGGGTTGTTTGTGGTCAAAGCGCAAACAGTGCAAAAATTCTTTGTTTAGATAAAACCGTGTTTATTTATTAAACTTATTTCGTATTCACACCTGTAGCCCAACAAAAGAGAACAACTTAAATATAAAAACAACATTTGTCAACAATAGATACATTGAGTTACATTTAATACGTATAGATGCAAAAGCAGTTTATTATGTCTTGGCTCGTACTTCTTAAAGTTGTTATTTGGAATAGAGCCAAAAAATTAACGTGTGCAATGTAAATTCTTGTAGCTAAGCAAAACCTAACGGACCGTGTAGTAAGCAGTTGATTATATTATACCTAGTACAAGTACTGTCATGGGTATATATAATTTTCAGTTGACTTACTTGTTTTATATATATAACGACATTTAATTTGAGTCAGAATGTCGATTTCAAAATTATGTTGCTTTTATTGATGGATTTTCAATATAAGTTTTGGTATAAAATATGTTTTTTTTTGAACTGCTCGTACTGCTTTGCACATTTAAGATATAATGCATAAAAATAAGTTACCTTAAATACACTATGGAAAAATTCGTTAACCCATAATACGAGTACAAATGAAATTAGAAACTACTGTGTTTTATTTACAAAAACATTTAAAATAACCCGAATATTTTGTCGATTTATACATATTGAGCTACGGAACAGCAATAAATATAATAACTAAATATATATTTTTTATAGTTTTCAATTCCTGTCTGTTTATACAAATTGCAGCGTCCTTATATATAACATTAAATACTTAATTTACATACGTTACATACTTGCTTAAATTTTTGCTTTTACAAGAATTTGTATTTATTCCCAAACCACAAAGCCTAGTTTATTATAAGCACATTGATTTTTCTAACAAATATAGAATGATTTGCGCCGTTGGAACGTATATCGTAATATTTGGATCAGCCGAATACCATTTATTTTTATTAGGGGCCTATATCAGCATACAAATGTCTCTGAAAAGTAATGAGGTGCGTTTCACAAGGGAATGAAAATAAAAAAGATTTTCGTTTTCACTACATATTCCTAATTATTGAAATTACTAGCGACTAACCCACACTTCACTCGGATACTTCTCTAGGTATCTTTTAAATTAATTATATTGTATATAGCCAGTGCATGCTTTTAGCAAATTTTATTACTAAAACTAGTTATGTTTTACTCCAGATCATTGTCTATCTGTATTTGTGAACTTTCGCATTTATAATCACAAAAAATAATTAATCAGACTAATACAAAAATAATCACATTAGTGTGATTATGATCACATAAGTGTGATTATGATCATATTAGTGTGATTACTTTTTTCTTTTAAACATTACAGATTTTGATGATAACGGTATCGATTTCCATTGTTACCGATGTCAATGATATTGTTAATGAAAATTAGTCACTACACAGACAAAGGCTTTTGATAGTTATGTAATACATATTACCATTGCTTATATAAGCCTGTGTGCCTCTAATTCTGGACCGTTGTTATATATGTATGTAACTAAGCCGAATAGAGTATAGAAATGTGTATCGATTGAGTGGTATTATTAAATTGTAATAATACCATCCTAATATATTATTTAATATTGTGCAGTGTTTTAATAAGCCTTTCCATATAAAACTCTTTTTTCGGATTGACAAAAAAAGTTTTGTATATAAATAAATAAAAATAAATGAATATGTTGGGAAATTAACAGACAGCCTGTGTTATGGAAACCAGATAGGTGATACACTAAACATATATAACTTTAAATACATACATATTATAAATATAAACACCCATAACTGGAGTACAAGCGTTCGTGCTCATCACACAAATGAATGCCCCCAACGGGACTCGAACCCGCGACTGCTGGCACAGTAAGTAGGGTCACTAAAAGCTTAGCCAAAAGTGTCGTCAAATATAGACACCGTCTGCAATAATTATGAATTTTGAGATGTTTAGTATCTCCCGTGACCATATTTGCTGTAAAGCATACGAAACTTTGGTATTTTTTTTAACTGTAAGAATTTCGTATTATTTTTTTACAATGTCAAACAATGTGTAAATCTAAGAAAATATTAAGTATATCATATAAAGTCACAGTCAGTCGATTGCAACTATTTTCATTATTATTTCTATGTCATAATAAATTTGTAAAACTTCTTCCTTATTTTATTTAAATTCTTAGAACCATAAACGATAGAAGATTTCTAGACATGCTTAAGCACTTTCAGTGTACTTTTAATTAATTAAATGTAAAAATACAAGCACCGAATTTATTGTATACCTCTTATAAATGTGCTTAACTCCTTTAAGTAATGTATTTCTATTTTCTATTAAAAATATTAAATTATCTATATAATAATTATGAGATCAATTTGGTAAATAAAAATATACTCGTATAATTTAAAAATTATGTAACATAATCCTAGGCTCCCATCCCTAACCCGGCTTTAAGCATCTAAATATTTAAAAACACCCTGCCCGTAAAACATTGTAAATGAAAAAAGTATATAAGAACAGGCAAGAAATGCTTACGTAAAGTTAAATATTATTTACTAGCAACTAATCCTCGCTCTGCTTGTGTTTGTCCCTACTTACCTTTTAACGATTAGTATAGATTTCTCAGAGATGAGATTTATTCCCGCAGTAAAAAGTATCATATATGTTGACCCGAATAACCAGCTATCATCATACTAAATTCCATAAAAATCTGATCAGTGATTTTCTCGTGATACGTTCCCAGACAGACAGACAGACAAAAATTCTAAGAACTATAGATTCGGCCTCTGTATCTATAATATTTCTGACTATTTCAATAAGATTTTCCAAAAAAATATTTAATATACAGATTCGAGTCAGAATTTTATTATATGTATAGATTTATCAATGCAAATGATTTTATGAACGAGAAATATAAAGTTGCTTAAATATGTTTATTTCAAAGAAAAACTTTACGTTATAATTATAAATTAAAAATTTAAAAAAACCCCTACGCAAACTAATTGTCATTTTACGATTACACTGACACGCTTGAAGCACTTAATCGAGTAATCATACGCCGAATTGCCTAACATCATTTTGGAAAAGAGCTGATACTCTTACACCGTTGGACCGATATTAACTAAACATAGCTAAGAACCACCGCAAGGAAACGGGCTTGCAAATAAAAAAAACCTCATCGAAATTGGTTCATCCGTTTGAGCGCTACGATGCCACAGACAAACACACACACAGACAGACAGATAGACATGGACGTCAAACTATAACACCCCTGGTTAAAAATGTTTGAAAATGTTGAAATTAATTGACAATAGACAAAGATATCTCATAAAATACGCATAAAAACATGCACCCATAACTAAGTGTTATGTGGATAACCATAACTAAATACGTTTAACATTTTCAATACCGTTGACAACAAACTTCTTTTTTTCTAGCTTTCTTTATTTATTTATTAAATTAAAAAATCTGCTTTGTGAAAATTTCTACTATTTCAACCTTAGTACAAGTTAAAAAATAATAAAGTCATAATAAAAATAAACATAAACAATAACACCTACCTTAATAACCCTAAATAAAGCAAGATGTCCTCTGATTGCTATTAAGGTCGTTTATAAGTGGACCTTATCTGTTTAAACTAGCTCCTTACGTTGTTAGCTTAGGACATTCATGGTGACGCTACTTGATTAGAGAACGAGAGCCGCTATCTTTTGATCAAGGCTCGTATCTAGTCTTTTCTTATGTTAATACTATTTTTATTTCATTCTAGAACTTCTTATATATAACAATTATTTTACTATTTTTTTTTTTATTTATTAAAACAACAGCTGCTCCGACAGTTGCTACAATGTTATCTAAATTCGTTTGTGATCTTAGAATTTATTTTCACACATTTTTCCGAAAAATTAAATAAAATCAAACTATTATGAACATTTTTAAAACAAAATTACCCAAATGAATCCAGCCGTTCTTATCATATTGATACCTTCTACCGCAAGCAAATGAGTAGATTATTTGTTTTCGGCTATTGACATAGAGAGCTCAGTGTGAGTTTTAATGATTTTCGAAAATGTTATTGGAAAAACAAAATAATTTAAATTATAAACAAACATTTCTATTTTACTGGGAAGTATAGATTTAAGTTCCATACTGTGTTTACATACTAAACATTAGACCTTGGATTTATCCCTAGCGGTATTTCGAAACAAGTGATTTTTAACTACTGTCGATTAAAAAGTGCCTATCATCAGAATTCATCATTACTATATTTTACATGATTTGCACTGTAGAAGAGCAACACTTAACGGCCTAATCTATTTTTGACGTCGCGTTTGGTTCAGTTGGTACTGACCCTACTTGCTGTGCCAGCAGTCGCGGGTTCGAGTCCCGCTGGGAGCATTCATTTGTGTGATGAGCACGAATGTTTGTACTCCAGTCATGGGTGTTTATATTTATAATGTGTATGTATTTAAAATTATATATGTGTAGTGTATCAACAAGGTAGGGCTGAGCTGTAGGCTACTACCGGGGTCCATAGGTGGCGGATAATGGAACGGCTTGGAGATATCCTCGCTAGCTGCATTGCAGTCCCCGACCATTCAGCGACAAGGTACTAGGATGCAGTGGTTATTCCTTAGGAAAGAATAGCCTATAAAATGCTGCAATATCCAATGATGTCCTTGTGACCTGGCGTGTCGTGCCGCCAGTAAATAAGCACTCCTCTGTTATGGGCAACTGCATAACAGTATTTTCAGAAGAGGAAGTCTAGTTGGCTGGAACTGTTCTGGAAAAGGAAGCTATTGACGGAGATGGTGTGCATCGGTACGGCAATAGTACAGCGTGTGGAAGGCAACGGGAAACCACCACATATATTTCCCCAGGAAGATCATTATGGCTGAAAACAATATAAAAATGGCCCTCAGTCCCCGGCAGACCTTTGATGGTCAGAGGGTGCGAATAATCTCCGGGTCAGCCATGACGATTGCTACGTGGAACGTCAAGAGTATGTACCGCACCTATAAAGTGGTAAATATAGAACGGGAGATGCTAAGACTTAAGATAAACATCCTTGGGGTGAGTGAGTCTAGGCACCAGGGAACTGGAGTCTTGTTACGGGATGACACAGTAGTATATTATAGCGGTAACAATGATAAAAATCACTACAACGATGTGGCCGTCATTATCAGCAGACATCTACATCATCAGGTTCAGAGTTTCTTACCCATATCGGACAGAGTTTTAGTCCTGGAGTTAAGAGCAAAACCTAGAAACATCCAGATAGTCCAGGTTTATGCACCAACCACCGATGCTACTGACGAGGATAATGAACTCTTTTACGAACAAGTAGAAAACGCTCTTAAACATCTCAATCCACACAACATTATCCTAGTCCAAGGTGACTTTAATGCAAAAATCGGAGAGGGCAAAGTCTCGGACATCGTTGGTCCATTTGGACTGGGAAAAAGAAACGATCGCGGTGACCGCCTTTTACAATTCTGCGAAGAACACGGGCTTATTATTTCAAACACCCAATTTAAGCAACCTCCAAGAAGATTGTATACGTGGACTTCACCATTACATTCACCGAAGAAGATCGTCCGTAATCAAATTGATTATATTCTGATAAACAAAAGATACCGCAACAGTTTAACATCAGTTAAAACCTATCCAGGCGCCGATATTGGATCTGATCACAATCCGGTTGTTGCATCCCTTCGCTGTAGTATGAAAATTCTAAAACCTAAATCAAAAAGACAACAAATGGATGTGACCAGACTTAAAGAACCGGAAATACGGCTTAAAACAGCTACAGAAATAAATATGGCTGTTGACCGCTTGAACAAAGAACTTGGTCCTAATGTTGACGTAGAAGAGACATGGACTAAATTAAAGGAAAAGCTTGTTGATACTGGTAAAAGAATTCTCCAACCATTAAAATGTAAAATAAAAAACCGCTGGATCACTGAGGAGATTTTAAGCCTAATGGAACAGCGCAGATCCCACAAAGGAGTAGACGATCAACAATATAAATACATACACAAGTTAATCCAAACAAAAGTACTTGAAGCGGAAGAAAAATGGATGGTTGACCAATGCATTGCGATAGAAGAGTTTGAGGCCAGATATGATTATTTTAATGTGCATAGGAAAGTCAGGGAAATAACGGGTACTTTTAAAACACGAAACATGAACTGTAACGTTTTACTGGATGATCAGGGAAATCCTGCTAAAACAATTGAAGATAGACTTAATACTTGGCAAAATTATATAACAACACTATTCCATGACGTTAGACCTGCTCTAGAATCAAGTTCATGTGGAAGTGAGTTAACTGGACCACCAATTAATAAAAGTGAAATTGCTTATGCCATTAACATGTCCAAGTCAGGAAAATCTGTAGGCGGTGATGAATTACCCGTGGAACTGTTGAAAGTGCTTGAGTATGCTAACTTAGGAATAATAGTAAAGTTATTCAACACCATATATGATTCGGGCGTCATACCGTCGGATTGGCTTAAATCCACCTTTGTCACCTTGCCCAAAGTTGCTTCTGCAAAGAAATGCAGCGAGTACAGAACCATCTCCTTAATGAGCCACACCCTAAAATTGTTTCTTAAAGTAATCCATAAAAGAATTTATAGTAAATGTGAAGACCTCATTTCAAGAACACAGTTTGGGTTCATGAATGGCCTAGGAACGAGAGATGCACTTTTCGGGTATCAAGTCCTAATACAGAGATGCTGGGACATAAATCAAGATGTGTTTGTATGCTTTATCGATTATGAAAAAGCATTTGATAGGGTACAGCATGCAAAAATGGTCGATATATTACAATCCATCGGACTCGACTCTAAGGACGTAAGGTTTATTAAACACCTATATTGGAACCAATCGGCGAATGTACGTATAGAGGGCAGACTAACAGATGATTCGGAAATCTTACGTGGAGTACGGCAGGGATGTATTCTCTCGCCAATTCTTTTTAACATATACTCAGAGATGATTTTCAGTGAAGCATTGGATCAGATGGATATAGGTATTACAGTGAATGGACAGATTATTAACAATATCCGTTATGCCGATGACACTGTACTGCTTGCATCTACAATGGAAGAACTTCAGATCCTTATAGATAAAATCCAATCTGTTAGTTCAACGTATGGCCTTAGTGTCAACACCAAGAAAACCAAATACATGACAGTTTGTAAAATACCACCTGCTAACTCTACACTACTATGTAATGGACAACCTCTACAAAAAGTTAGCAAATACAAATATTTGGGATGCTGGGTTGATGATACGGGTGACCACAGTCTTGAAATAAGGTGCCGCATTGAACAAGCCCGTAATGCTTTCTTTAAGCTTAAGTCACTTCTGTGCAATAAAAAGCTGAACATCCAGCTCCGAGTACGATTAGCACGCTGTTATGTTTTCTTCATTATCTTGTATGGCGTTGAAGCATGGACCCTCACAGAATCGAGCTGTAAGAAGATTGAAGCCTTCGAAATGTGGGTATACAGGAGAATGTTAAGGATATCCTGGAGAGACAAAATAAAAAACGTAACCGTGCTAAGTCACGTTAAGAAAAAACCTGAAGTTTTATACTTAGTAAAGAAAAGAAAGCTTGAATATCTCGGCCACATAATGAGAAACCGAAAATACGACCTACTACAACTCATCATACAAGGAAAGATCCAAGGAAAACGAAATGTGGGTCGAAGAAGAACATCTTGGCTAAAAAACCTACGCCAATGGTTTGGAAAAAGCACCCGTTCCTTATTCAGAGCTGCGGCATCAAAGATACAAGTTGCTTTAATGATCGCCGACCTTCGAAAGAAGATGGCACTTTAAGAAGAAGAAGTGTATCAACTATCTGGTATCCATAACACAAGCCTCGTAGCATATCATGGAACTAGACGGCGCTGTGTGTTAATGTCCCAACATAAAAAAAAAATACATTTCTAATTAAAATATATTATAGATACTACGGAGTATACAGGGTCATTTTTAATTTACTGAAAACCTTTTGGGAATACACTATTTACAACATAACAACATCATCTGTAAGAAAAAAAATAATATTTCTTAAATTTAACAAAAATAAAAATATTTTTATTGCACCTTCTCAACGGTAATAGTCCAGCATTAGCAAAAGAAAGTGCGTGTCCGGTGGAGGGGGAGGGGTGGAGGGGTGTAGGAAGCCGCGCTTACTCATTTAAACTTGGCCAGATGCTAGAACTTTAAAGTTTAGAAGGTGAAAAAAAAATTTCTTTAATTTTATATGAAAATAAAAATTTCTGAAATATTATTTTTTCTTGTTACAGATGTTGTTGTTATGATGTAAATAATATATTACCAAAAGGTTTTCAGTAAATTAAAAATGACCCTGTATAGTTCGTCGTAGTATTTGACTTATTTGTTTTCAAATCCATTTAGATGCTGTGAAGATTAGGATGCAATATCTCTCATTCATTTTTATCACACGTCTAAATTAGTCATTTATTTTTCTAGATTACTTATTTATTTTAATGAACATGTATGTATGGCTCAATATATTTTTAACTTTAATTCATCAGTCACGTAGTTTTATATGATTAGAGCTAATTCATGTTAAAGATTACATGTTACTTTTAATTCATTGCTAGATTTAAGAAAAACTCTTTTCATTCTTTTGAGCAAAAGCACTCTTTTGGTTAAAGCTTTGGCATTTTTTTTAAATAATCTGTTTAATTTCATTTAATGAAACTTCGTCTGAAAGTCCGCTTATGAAAACGAATCAATTTTCATGGTTATTCAGATTGGCGATAAGCTAGCGTCTTAAAAATTCATTGGGGTACAGTGGAATCTCTTAGAGTGACTGAATCTTTGATTAAATTTAGACCTAATGGATTCATTAGTTAGGTAATCAATTTAGCATTTATACTTATACCGCAATGTCTTTTAACGATGAAATCTTATTCATTGTTCAATAATGTGGAATAAGTATCTGTATCTTAAACTGAATATAGAAAATTTTGAATCTGAAAAAATTTTGAAGAAAAAATTTTGAGTCTGAAAAAAAATTCGCTAAAACAGTAAAAATACAAATATGTATATGGCAAACTGTTAAATATATTTTCTCAATTCGCCACCCACCATAAAAATTACGTTACTATTCCACCACATGCCCTCGGGGCAGAGGGCACATGATAGGAAAATTCAATGAAGCGTTTTCGTAATTTCGGTTTTCCGGGCTGGCGCGCCGCGTAATCGACCGACCTATGGCGTTCCTACATAAACCTATATATTATACACTTCTTTTACCAATCTCGTTAATCCATCTAAATATTAAAGTACTAGATAGTCGAATTTATTATTTTATGTAATGGAAAGAAATAATAAAAAATAATATGATAATAATATTTGCATGGCATATTTCTATAATATTGACACTGATACTATGATCAATGTTCCGAATACGCAAGAGGTATGATATTATTATACTGCGTTTATTCACTGGCTAATGAGCTTTTTCTCTAATTTAATAATTTGATTAGTTACCCAATAAAACTTTAACTTCCATGATTTTAAAATAACTAATAAATAAATGTGTTGGGACATTAACACACAGCACCATCTAGTTCTATGGTAAGCTACGAAGCTTGTGTTACCGATACTAGATAGTTGATACACTACATATAACTTTAAATACATACATATTATACATATAAACACCCATGACTGCAGTATAAACATTGGTGCCCATCACACAAAAGGATGCCCCCAGCAGGATTCGAATCTAGCATTGCAAGTACGGTTACTACACACTGAGCCAAACGTCTCCTCAACGTCAAACGTCGTTTTTTATGTTTATTTCTTTTTTAATATTTTGCATGCTCTTAAATTTAAATTCAACCAGATTGAGTTTGATTGTAATCTATAAACTTTTAACTAATTACTTTGTATCCATATTAATTCATGCCTAATACTTCGATATTATAATTCTGTTTTAATGAAAAAGTAACGCTACCCTTTTACGTAAGTATTAAAGTACTGTGGGGTTCGTTTAGAAATGTAATATTTACAATGTTTTGCTTTAATATTTATTTTATCATTATATCTTTTTGTTATCTTTATTTATTCCAAACAAACGCAACAACATCGTATTTTAAATAAAATACCAGTTAGATAATAAATACTTAAATTTTATCATTATCATTTTTACAAGGTACATTAAAAACAAAAAAAAATGTTGAATTTAAAGATTACTATTATAACATTTATTTACATTCACATTAATTATAACATCCATTGATACATCTTTTTCAATTTTAGTTTCTATAAAGTTTTTTTAACTCTATTAAAATCTTTTGTAATTACCTAACATTCTTGATGTTTCCAATAAGCATCATACCAGAGCCATTTTACCATGCTTAGATTGAATTTACACTTTTAAAAGGATTTTGAATACTTTTAAATAAAAAAAATGCGCTTTAAACTCCTTTGTATTACTTATCGATTGATCGATACTCGCAAAAAAACTGTTCTGAGCTGTTGTGTTCTATTGAACTGTCTCCTATCAAAATAGCTATTTTATGTATGTAGGAGGGAGATGTGAGTGAAAGCTACATAGTTCATCTATATAATATATACAGAAATCAATTGTTGTTCGTTAGTCTCGCTAAAACTCAAAAACAGCTGAATTCATTTGAATAATCCCTTTTTTTTTGTTTTGTTGGAGGTATTTCAGTGATGGTTTAAATATAAATTTTTTAGAAAAAACTCATAAGAATAGCTGGAAAATCGAAAAGTTCAGAAATGGTTATGTTGTATGGGAATCACTACTTCGGATTACTTTCAATAGTGGTGGACCTAGGTACCATCTACAACAATACGTCAAGTTTAAGGTTAGAAAAAAAGAATATATGTATCGTTAATCGTTAAAACGTAGATACCTAGGGACGAACCCGAGCGAAGCAAGGGTGAGTCGCTAGTCATATTTATATATATTTATATATATATATATATATATATATATATACATATACATATATATATGTTTCAAAATTATATAATGTATTTCAACAACAGGATTAATCCGAATAAGTTTCATTTTTTATAATAATCCGAAGAACTAGATAGCAGTCCTGGAAACAGAGAATCAACCACTTTAATAAATTGTTGCTTTTACATTGCAAATTAATAAAATATTTACTTTTACTAACTTACTTTAGAGCGCAAATGAAATTTCTATTTTCCAACTACTTATAAAGTAGTTTTATTTAACTTTTCATAATTTTCCATTTCCGTTTACCATTTCTGCCCATACGTATTTTTTTATCATGATTTTTTTTCAGTAAAATTCTTTTATGACCGAATAAATAAAGTTCCAAGAGGATTTTCTAAGAGAATAATAACCGAGTACTGACAGCGAAAGATAAGGAATCCCAGCATAATGAAGAACAGCGAGTGACGTTCTCTTTATTGCGTAATTATTTCTAGCATTGAAAATGTTCTTGAGTAAAGATAAATAAGCGGGTACTAGTCACAGACAAAAGGCTTTAAAAATAATATGTTTTTGTTAGAGGCAATGTATCTATAAGTAGCTTATGTTATAATAAGACTGAGAATGCTGTTCGTAATTTTAAATTTTACTTGATATACTTGCTATTAATTGGCTATTTGTGAGCATGATATTATCTTTTCAGATTTACGGTGTGGTTTTTTCCGGGATCATGTTGCTGTAAAGCAAGCAAATTCAAAAAGATAGTTTTAATCAAAAAAAGCCTGAAGGACAGTCTACCAAATAAATATATATTATACTAGAACGACCCACCCTCGTTCGCTCGGGTTCGTCCCTAGGTTGGTTCCAGATACAAACATTCAACCCCATTTTCACCGCCTTAAGGGATGATTTCTGGGATTAAAAGAATCCTATGTCCTTTCCAGGGTTTCAAACTATCTTTTTACCAAATTTCATCTAAATCAGTTCAGTAGATGCAGAGATTACCCCCTATAACGTCACAAACTCACAAACTTTACCTCTTTATAATATTAGTATAGACTAGCGACTTACCTAAGCTTCTCTAAGCTTGAATAGTTTAGGAACCCACAAAAGACAAAAGTCCAAAAAAAAAACTTTTTGCGCCAGAAACATTTGCAGGCGTATGTCTACATGGTACCCATTAGAGTTTCATCACAATCAGATCAATGGTTTAGGAATGCCCGGAGGGCAAACAGACGAATATTCATTTTTATTTATATATATTTAAACAATACAAATACAATTGACTTATAGTTCACAATTTATTAATTAATTCTTTTTTACAAATATTATTTCATATATTTTTGTTATTTGTTACAGCTTTTAACAATATTCATTATTCAAGTATCCTCAGCGTTGTGAACAAAACTCACCTAAAGCTGTAGTTATACTGATTCACATTCAAGAAAACAAAATTAAAATATATTATGTATATATTGTATATAAATATATGTGATTTTACTATTTCAAGCATTCAAAATGTTTTCAAGTTTTATGAAGCATAATCAAAATATATTTATTTATGTATAATCTATATTTTATACTAATATAAAAAGCTAAAGAGATTATTTTTGTTTATTTGAACGCACGCGAACTGATTTGTCTTTTTTTACGTTTCATAGCGTATAAAGGTAGCTTATAAGCTATCTTATATCACGCTAAGACCAGAGCGAAGCAATTTGTACATAAAGAAAATACCTATACGACGTGACCCGATAGTCCGGTAATACTTTCTTAGAATTACGCGAACATTTAACATTTTAAATGAAACTATCTTTTTAGATTTTTTCGGGGATTTATTTGGATTTTCTGTTCCCGACGTTTCTATGCTTTATAGCCATCATGCTCACGGGAGAGACTAAGGTAGGAGACAAACCTTTGAGATAAATATCTCACAAGTTATGACTCTGTACTCAAGACTGATTTATCTCAAGGGTTTGTAGTTATTACAAGCAGTATCTAACGATTTTAAGGAAATAGCAAAATGGCACCAACGTACTTTACAATTTAATTTAATTTTAAATTAAAATTAAAAAATATGCCCACATTATGCGTATATAATTTTAGACGTAAAATGAGTTAAGCAGTTTTTGAAATATGGAATATTTTACCAAATGGATTTGTCAGTTTAGGAACCGGTAAATTAAGTTTATTTTCCATAATATACAAAAAAAGCATAGTATATAACATGACTGTACTTCTCCGATCGATACAATAAGTAAATATTGTAAAATCATAAATATTCGTATTTTATTTTAACGTTTACCAAACGAAACCTATTTACAGATTTTTAGTTTTTATCAGATAGTCATTTTGAT